TTTTTTTTTGTCATTTCTTATTAGCTTCGATGTTACGTGGAGCATGGAAAAATTCAAATTTGAAAAAGCTATCGTGTTTACGATGTTGCTATCACACCGCCCTACACTTGTTATCTCCCTTTAGTCATCATACCAGCTTAATTCTATGAGTATCAATTTTTGCAAAAAGCAATAAATCACTCTTGGATGGAATTGAACAGCGAACACCTAGAAACTACCTTTAGGTCCCCTAGTCTGCGGCGCTAAGCGGTGACGATGAAGTTACTCGACCTGTTTTGAAACCGCGTAACCATAAAGCGCCCTTATCAGAGATATACCAAAGACCAGTTTTTCAAATGAATGTCATGCTGAGTTTTTGATGCTTTTTCGCCCTAAATTTTTGCCAACTAGTTCATCGAGCAATGCGATGAGCACGCTATTGTATAAGCATCAATGAGAATTTGGGTTCTTGCTCCTTTTTCAAGGATTCCAAAGCAATCTTAGCTATTCGTAACGTGAATTCGCAGTTTTTTCAATGTAAAAACTTTCTAGTCCATTCTTTTCTGAAAGGGCATTTGAAGTATTTTACAAAAGTTTCAAAGAATCCCGTTTTCAATAATTCTTTCTTTGCAGTGATGTCTTGTCTTATGGTGTAAGATGTCCATTAGGTTGCCTGTTTGCGAGGACTGCCTTTATCTGTAGTTTGGTGAAGTATCTTTTTTGAATCTGAAACAAGAGAAATATAAGAAATGTAAAAACACACTTGTTTTAATTTGGCTTTGGCGTATGTACTTTGGCAGTTTTGTTCTCTGGCTCTTCTCGATGCTTCATTCACTGGTACTTTAGGTAAAATCAGTGATCTATTTGCATACATAATTCACCACTAATTTGGTATAAGCATTGCGTTCTGTTTCCCAATTCATTTGTGAAGAACACTTCTACTCCTACTTTAGTCAAATCTGGCAAATATTATCGCTTTTTATTTTTTAAGTCAACAAGCTTTCATTGAATTTTATTATTTTAGGAAGTTCAAAATATTCTCGCTCTGCAGAATGTAGACACCCCGTTGAAGGGTGGACTCAACACTCCACTTCATGAGGCTGATTTCTCGGGAATTCTGCCCACTCCTAAAGTCCAGGCAACTCCGAATACTGTACTAAATGCAGTTGCTGCCACTCCCGCTAGCACATTTGGAGGTACGCCCTGTCCATTGTTTTGATCTATTTTACGTTTAGATTTTCTGTTCATTAAAGTTGTCCACTTCAGCTACGCCAAGCTCTGTGGGCTCGTTCACCCCAGGACCTGGTGGAGCGACTCCAGCTTTCCGCGACCAAATGGGTATCAACGAAGGAGGAGCAACGAGTGGAATTGAAGCTCGCGC